AAAGAGTGTGAGAAACAAGTCAGGACCCTTCACCTCGGGGGATTATGGGATCCTGGAGAGTCTAATCCTTGTCACAAGGTCAAGCTTTTACAAAGCAATTATTAAGGATCTGCACAGTATCAACATACAGACACACACCTACTCAGAGCCTCTTAATCTCTGGACTCATTTCCCTCCTACTAATGACTCCAACCCCTCCTTTCCTTGTTCCTGCAGGTACAAGTTACAGGACCCATGCAGGTGCTGTATCTCCTGCCTTGAGCAAGAGACATGAACTAGTCAGTGCTCAAACAAAAGGAGAGAACCACAGGTTTAGGTATCATTTCACTTCTGCCTTTCAGCTTGATTCGTGCAGCTTTCCATTGGAATGACAGAACAAGAGAAGAAAGGGGAAATTCTCATCTCTCTGCCCTCCTGAGCCTGCTGTTCCAACTGGAATCCTGAATGAGGACAGGTCAGCAATTAGCACCAGCTGCCAGTTTCAGTTTTTGCACTGTAGAAGAAAATGTTCTGCCATGGCTGATCAGCTGGAAGCAATTTATTAGTCCTGTCTTCTATGATCCTGATACATATTGTAAGTAGAATGCTGGGTAAAAAAGAATATCATCTTAATTGAAGGTGTGGCAGTGAAGTCTGACGTGACATGGATTGAGAACAGCCCTGAGGAGAAGGACTTGGGGGTGATGCTGGATGAGAAGCTCAACATGAGCTGGTATCATGCCCAGAAACCAACCCTGTCCTGGAATGTGTCACCAGCAGCTTGGCCAGTAGGGCCAGGGAGGGGATCCTGCCCCTCTGCACTGGTCAGACCCCCCTGCAGGGCTGTGTCCAGCTCTGGAGCCCCCAACAAAAGGACATGGAGCTCCTGGAAGAGAGACCAGAGGAGCCACAGAGATGCTGGGAGGGCTGGAGCAGCTCTGCTCTTGAGCCAGGCTGGGAGAGTTGGGGTGTTCAGCCTGGAGAAGAGAAGGCTCCAGGGAGACCTTAAAGCAGGTTGCTCCAAGCCCCATCCAACCTGCCCTTCAACACCCCCAGGGATGGGGCAGCCACAGCTTCCCTGGGCAACCTGGGCCAGGCTCTCCCCACCCTCACAGCAAAGAATTTGCTCCTCATGTCTCACCTCAATCTCCCCTCTTCCAGCTTTAATCCATTCCCCCTCATCCCATCCCTCCCTGCCCTTGTCCCAAGCCCCTCCCCAGCTTTCCTGGAGCCCCTTCAGGCACTGGAAGCTGCTCTAAGGTCTCCCTGGAGCCTTCTCTTCTCCAGGCTGAACACCCCAACTCTCCCAGCCTGGAAAATCCTTTGGATCACAATCATAATTTTCATTTCCATTTTTCAGGCTGCAAACTGGGAGAAAACTGGGTGGGCTCCAAGGTGGAGGATAAGCAGGGAATGTGGCTTTTCCCTGGCAGATGCCTGGTACCCTGGTGAAGCTGAACAGCCAGGCAAGTGTTCCCCATCCTGTCACTGCACATGCACCTCCTCAATAAGCTGAAGAGGAGGGATGGCAGGTGAGGAGACCACAGCCAAAATGAAGCACCAGGTCTTTTCACCAGACCAAACTTTATTGCATGAAATAATAATGGGGAGTGAAAAGGGCAGAGACCCTGGTGGGAAGTGCTGATGAGAAGGGTTTGCAGTTAAGGGAGAAAAATGCACCTTTCAGTCCAAGAATCCTGCAAAACTGGCAGAGTGAGGGAGCACAGAGTTGCCTTTATTTGTCAAACAGGGTTTCTACCCCTCAAGCCTGGTAAGAAAGTCCTGGATGGCACCAACTGAGCACAAGGGAGCAGCTGGTGATTCCTAAATAGAAAGGGCCATGAGACCTGCCCTGGGTGGGAGAGGGTGTTTTTGTCACTCTCTTGAGGAGACTGTGACCACAGCAGGTGCCCTGAGCAGCATCACTTTGGGCTGAATTACCTGCCATGAAGGTGCTGATTCAAGTATGGAACCATTTATCTTTTCTTTTTCTTTTCAGATGAAGCCATTAAATATGAGTTTCATTGCTTAACAGGTTTAAAGCAAGAACACGTAGAAAGACTGAACAGCCTCTTGAGGAAATGAACAGTTGTCAACTTGTTGTGGCAAAGAGAAACATGAGAAAAAGCACCAGAACACCAAGCATTTCCCACCCCAGGGTGGCATTCACAGTGTTCACTTGTGTCATCACAAAGGAAGGTCTCTTAAAAACAAGAACCAGGTCAGTTTCCCAGACAACTCAACAGTGGGATTGGGGGTTTTTTTTGGTCTTCATTTTTCATTCTGGCCTTAAGAGAACTTCTTCATGAGGTGCAGCTTCAGGTAGGCAATGGCAAGGAAGAGTATTGTCATGCAGGCCAGAGCCAGGTGGTTCTGCCACAGGCCCCAGCTACTTGCATCAATTCCTTGTTTTTTCAGATACTCTTCTCCTGTCACACACCTGGGGAGACACACACACACCTGGGGAGACACACACACACCTGGGGAGACACACACACACACCTGTGTGTCCAGCTTCTTGGTTGGGAGATTCTGGAAAGACCCTGTTGTGTGATTTCATGCCTATAGCAGGCCAGGCAAACACCAGGTCAATGTTGCCATCATATCACATCATAGAATTGGGTTGGGTGGGAAAGGACCTGAAAGATCATCCAGTCCCAACCCCCTGCATGGGCAGGGACACCTCCCACCAGCCCAGGCTGCTCCAAGCCCCATCCAACCTGCCCTTCAACACCCCCAGGGATGGGGCAGCCACAGCTTCCCTGGGCAACCTGGGCCAGGGTCTCACCACCCTCACAGCAAAGAATTCCCTCCTCATGTCTCACCTCAATCTCCCTCTTCCAGTTTTAATCCATCCCCCCTTGTCCTCTCCCTCCCTGCCCTTGTCCCAGGCCCCTCCCCAGCTTTCCTGGGACCCCTTATTGATAAATTTGCTTTCCTTGCAGCTATAACCAGCTTCCTGTAAGAAGCTGGAAGGGATTTTGTGAGCCTGGAGAACTGTGGAGTGTGGCTGTGTCCCAGGAAATTCCTACTCCAAGGGGGAGCAAAATGCCAGATGTTTTCTTGGCAACACAAACAGTAAATGAGCAGAAAGTTCCCTGCAGACACAACACTAAAACCCAGTCAAAACTGCATTGGCCAGACCAAAACCTCTCAGATTCTGCTGGTCATCTGAGAAACAGAGGGATGCTCTAGGAATTCCTAAGCCACCAAATGATGGGATTTGTTTTCAGGCACCAAGATACTCACGACTGGCTGGTCTGTGAGGAGTTGCCACCACTGCCCACTTCTGTCCTGTTGGTGCTGTCACAGAAGATCAAGCCAGTCAGCTCATTGATTTGTAAAGCCTGGGAAAGGAAAAGGAGGAAAAGAAGGAAAAGAGGGAAAAGAAGAAAAGAGAGAAAAGAAGGAAAAGAGGGAAAAGAAGGAAAAGAAGAAAAGAAAAGAAAAGAAAAGAAAAGAAAAGAAAAGAAAAGAAAAGAAAAGAAAAGAAAAGAAAAGAAAAGAAAAGAAAAGAAAAGAAAAGAAAAGAAAAGAAAAGAAAAGAAAAGAAAAGAAAAGAAAAGAAAAGAGAAGGAAAGAGAGAAAGAGAGAAAGAGAGAGAGAAAGAGAGAAAGAGAGAAAGAAAGAAAGAGAGAAAGAAAGAGAGAAAGAGAGAAAGAGAGAAAGAGAGAAAGAAAGAGAGAAAGAGAGAAAGAAAGAGAGAAAGAAAGAGAGAAAGAAAGAGAGAAAGAAAGAGAGAAAGAAAGAGAGAAAGAAAGAAAGAAAGAAAGAAAGAAAGAAAGAAAGAAAGAAAGAAAGAAAGAAAGAAAGAAAGAAAGAAAGAAAGAAAGAAAGAAAGAAAGAAAGAAAGAGAAAGAAGAGAAACAACAGAAATGAGCTGGGAAAGGAATGAGACATGAACCAGCTGAGCTGGAATTCAATTCAGATTTATTCCAAAAATGGGATGGGATCAGTATTTGCTGTCTTGGCCAGATCCCCATTTTTTTTTAACCAAGTTCTTTCCAGAAGGCAGGGGCACCACCAGGGTTGAACACCTGCCCCAGGCTAAACTCCTTCTGCACAGGAAAGCCCCAGTTCCTCTGCCAAAACATCCCCCTGGCTTCAACCATCCAAAGTGTAGGAGAAACACTGGGAGCTTGGTGAGTTTTTGCTTGGCTGATGGAAAAGAGAAGAATTGGGGGTATTTGTTCTGGTCCAACTGCACATCCCAGTGGGTGCAGCTGTTTGGTGTCTCTCTCAGATCAATGTCTCCACATCACACAAGTGCTGGTGGATGAGAAGCTTTTCTGGCTTCAGGACACTGAGGTGGCTGGATTGAATCAGCTCCAGTTTTGGCTCATGAGCCCAGAAAGTCTGGAGTTTTCTTTATCCTGAGTAAAAACGTTCCCAGCAAAACCTTTCCCAGGTCTGTGCAAGCAGGGACCACCCAGCACTTACTGTCATTCCATATTGAGGGATGCTGAAGTATTTGAGCCAGGAGAGCCAGGACAGGATGCTTGTGAGATTGACCAGCAGCCCAGAGAAGAGCTAGAGGCAAAAAAAAGCCACAACAAATCCCAGGTGTCCTTCCCTCCCACTTGACCTGGCCCCTTTAGATTAAAGACAAGTGGGAAGGCATTCCTAGAGGAAGGAATTCTTCCAGTGGAAGCCCAGGGGAGAGGGAAGGAATCATCTCTGTGGCCCAGCTGGGGGTCATACCCATGAGGAAGGGGGGAAATGCTTTCCCCTGTGCCTTGAACCCCAGATGCTTCCAGCCTAAGGGGTCCCACAGGGTGCATGGAGCTGCTGTTGGAGGGATGTCTGGGTCTGCTCTGCCCCAGGGTGGGCTCTGCAGCTGGGGAGGTGACATGGGGAGGGTGGCAGGGAGCAGGAGGCTGCAGGACATGTCCTCAGCCATTTGTCACAGAATCACAACCTGGGGAGGGTTAGAAGGGACCTCTGGAGATCACCCAGTCCAACCCTTCTGCTGGAGCAGGATGCCCCAGAGCAGATCACACAGGAACATGTCCAGGCTGGTTGGGAATGTCTCCAGGGATGGAGACTCCACAGCTTCCCTGGGCAGCCTGTCCCAGGGCTCTGGTCCCCTCAGAGGGATGAAGTGTTTTCTCAGATTCAGGTTCAACCTCCTGTGCCCCAGTTTGTGCCCATTGCCCCCTTGTCCTGTCCCTGGACACCCCTGAGCAGAGTCTGGCCCATCCTGCTGACACCCCTGGAGATATTGATCAGCACTGATGAGCTCCCCCCTCAGCCTCCTTTTCTCCCAGCTGAGCAGCCCCAACTCTCCCAGCCTCTCCTCACAGGCAGATGCTTCAGCCCCTTCATCATCTCAGTGTCCCTGTGCTGGACTTTCCCCAGCAGCTCCTTGCCCTTGAACTGGGGAGCCCAGACCTGCTCCCAGGGCTCCAGATGGAGCCTCAGGAGAACCTCCCTGACCTGCTGCCCACACTCTTCTTGATGCCCCCCCCCCCAGGATGGCACTGGCCCCTCTTGGCCACCAGGGCACCTCGTTGGCTCATGCTCAGCCTGTTGTCCACCAGCACTCCCAGGTCTTTTTCTCCAGAGCTGCTTCCCCAGTTAAAAGGAGATGGAACAAGGTGCAGCTGGAGGCTGCTCTCCTGCTCCCCAGGCTGGGGAAGGGGGCAGAGGAACCTCCCTCCCTCCCTTCCCCCCTCTCACCCCTTGTCCCCCTGGGTCTCACTGATTCCAAGAACAAACCAGAACCTTCCACTCTGCAGCCCCAGACCAGCCAAGGGGATTGTCCACCCTCCACCACCCCACAGCCTCTTGGCAGAGCTCAGCTGAACCCTGGGCTGGCAGGATTTCCAAGGTGCCAGCATTTCCAGGGAGCTGGCTGGAGGTGCTACTCACAATCATGAAGACAAAGCTGATGGTCATGAGCAGGTTGGCCAGAGAGACCACGCTCTGTCCTGCTGCAATGGCCAGGGCCATGGAGGTGGCTGTGTAGGACACCATCATCAGGGTGAACATCACGGTGAAGAAGGCTCCTGCTGTCGGTTTCAAGCCTGGAAAAAATCAGGGCAAGGGTTTCAGGAGGATCCTGCCAAAAGCTCCACCACCCCAGCCTGGACACTGATGGGCTTGTGACAGCCCAGACCTGTGTGTCCTCTGGACAGGAGGAACCAGTTCCTGGGGCTGCAGGAGCACTGGAGGGAGCAGGACGGGTGGAAGTTCTGCTCTGCTGGGCTCCACACAGCCCAAGGGGAAGGCTTCGAGGTGTCTATCCAAGGAGAAGGTCCTACTGCACTTCCATGAGCAGCAGAGTTTGCCTTGTGGCCCTGGGGTGGCTGTGGGTCTGTAGCCAGGTCTGTCCCACTCTAGTGTCACAGCCTGGAGAACCTCTTGCTGCTGAGGCTTTGCTTCCTGCTCCTTAGGGAAAAACACTCTGACTGAAGGGAGCTGTGATGACTTTTTATTTAATTTGGCTTGCACTTCCCAGCTTTTGGGACATCCCAAAAGGATGTCACGACCTGAAAGCTTCCCCTGGAAAAAAAGTGGTCTGGCTGGGACACGTTTTGAGGGTGACACCTGAAGGGCTTCTAGGGTTGTAGCAGCTGGTGCCAGCCACTTCCAAAGCCTGCTCAGCTTCCAAAAGGCATCTCACCACCAAGAACAAGCTGCTGTTCAGTCAAACAATCTTTAGCTCTCATTTCTTTGGTAGGTCTTGCAGGGATGAGAACCAGAGTCACAGAATCACAGCACGTCAGGGGTTGGAAGGGACCTCTGGAGATCATCCAGTCCAACCCCACAAACAAACCAGGGCAGGTCACTCAGAAAGGCATCCAGACAGGTCTGGAAAGTCTCCAGAGAAGGAGACTCCACAGCCTCTCTGGGCAGCCTGGCCCAGGGCTCTGTCACCCTCACAGTGAAGAAGTTCTCCCTCATGTTGAGGTGGAACTTTCTGGGCTCCAGTTTGAATCCATTGCCCCTTGTCCTGTCACAGGGCACAAGTGACAGGAGCTTGTCCTGCCTTCTTGATGCCCTCATGTATTTATAGACATTAATTAGATCCCCCCTCAGTCTTCTCCTCTCTAGACTGAACAGCCCCAGGTCTCTCAGCCTTTCCTCCTCAGACAGATGTTCCAGCCCCTTCATCACCCTCGTAGCCTCTGTTAGACTCTCTCCAGTAGGTCCCCTAGTGCCTCTGGAACTGGGGAGCCCAGAACTGGACACAACACCCCAAGTGAGGTCTCACCAGGGATGAGCAGAGGGGGAGGAGAACCTCCCTCCATCTGCTGGACACACTCCTCTTCATGCACCCCAAGATACCATTGGCCTTCTTGGCCACAAGGGCACTTTGTTGTCCCATGGAGAACTTGTTGTCTGCAGGTCCCTCTCCCCAGAGCTGCTCCCCAGCAGATCACCTCCTGGCCTGAACTGGTGCATTTTCCTGTTCCTCCCCAGGTGTTGAACCTCATGAGGTTCCTCCAAAAGTACTTCCTGCAAGTCCCCAGAAGCTAAGATGGCCAGGAAAGGAACAAATCAAACCCCATGTAGTAATGGTGATGCCATCCTTCCTTCTGAGGACAGTGGAGATGGGACACATCCCAGATTCTGCCACGGATGCTGAAGCCCTTTAAAAGGGTGTCCCTTCTGACCAGGCCATGCTGGGCTAAAAGCCACCCCTGCCATGGCCAGGCAGAGCTTCAGCCCACATCAACACCCACCTCCCCATGCACCTATTGAACCTGCAGGTGCCTTGTGGGTGTGTGGAGGAGGTGGGGCTGTAGGAGACCATACTTGCCCAACATGAAGTAAATGATGCAGGTGAAGATGATGCTTGGCATGGTCCTTACAGGTATCAGATCAGCCATCAGCTTGGAGATGAAATACACAGACGTTCTGTAGTACCCACTGATATATTCGTGTCTGGAACACAAAGAGACCCGTTTCATCACTGGGCTCTTCTCAAACTGGGGGATAAAAACCCCCAAGCCAACAGTCCTGTTTGTGGTCAGGCTGTCACACGAGTGCCCAGGAAGCCCCACACTGAAGTGGTGACATTTGAACACCCAAACGACGATGGACACCCGTGCAGAGGAGGTTTTAGGAGCTGGATGTGTCACGTTGCCAAAGCAGAGACAGAGGGGAAAGCTGGAACTGGGACAGTTTGCAGCCTCAGCTGGGCAGGGAGCTGAGCCCCCTGCTAGAAGCTGCAGCAGCACCTAGAAAGGTTGGAGCCCTGGGGGTCCCTCCCACCCTGGCATTCCAGGATCCCCTCAAATCCTTTCCCTTTCCTGCCCAGTGTCACCAGCACAGCTTTGCAGACCCCATCTGGGCACCCCATGAGCAAGTCCCAGGCTTCTCCACCAGCACCTAAACGGACCATTGAGCCTGATGGGGGTTGGTTTATTTTTCCCCCTTCCATCTGTTAATAGTATTAAACCCTGAGCCACGTGCAACCAGGGGGACTCAGCTGGTGAGAAGAATCCACGTGCAAGGAGAACGAACAGTGGGACAGGCCAGACACTCCAGCCCAGGTGTGCTCAGTGGCCACGAGCTCCAGCAGGGCCAGCAAAGCAGGTTCCTCACAGCCAGCCCGGCCAGCTGGGGCAGTTTGGTACCTTGTTATTTGTTTGTTTGTTTGCTTACATGAAGATCTGTTTCTCCAGCACGAAGAGCTCAACGGCCGTGACGCTGCTGAAGCACTGGTTGGTGGTCAGGAAGAACATGACACCCACCCTAGGGAAGGGCAGAGCAGCAGAGCTGTTGGTGCATGAGGGGGAAAGGGACACACACACACAGACACATAGACAGACACACAGAGACACACAGAGACACATACACAGACACACACAACAGACACACACAACAGACACACACACACACTCACAGACACACACAACAGACACACTCACAGACACACACACACAGACACACACACACACACACACACACACACACACACAACAGACACACACACTCACACACACACAGACACACACAACAGACACACACACACACACACTCACAGACACACACACAAGCACTCACAGACACACACACACACACACACACACAGACACACACACTTGGCTACAAGTCCCTCACCAGCCTGAAGCAGCCACAGCCCAGGCAGGACTTGTGACTCACACACAAGGGGTGTGTGTGGCTTTTTTGTTTAACCTGATTTCCTGACATATTCAACCTTTCCAGCCTCTGAGGACCCTGTGGGGACCGGAATCAGCAGCGGGAGGAGCTTTTCTCAACCCCTTCCCACTAGAATTCAGGGCTTTGCTCTCACACTTCCCAACGTAACCCTGGGGCACTTCAAAATCAGTGCCAAAAGGTGTTTCCAGCCTGAGGAGCTTCCTCAGCTGCCAAACCCACCTGTCAGGCCAGGGACCCAAAGGTGCCAACATGACAGACCAGAGCAACCTTAAAACCTGCACCTTCTGCCCTGCTGCTGCTCAGACCCACCTGTGCCTGGAGCTGCAAGGTCAGAGCTTTAAGCTGCCCAACTTCATGCAGCCCAGCTCTCCCTGCTCCTAACCCGGGGCATTTCCTTCTATCTTGGGGGATCTTTCACAGAACAGGAGTGACAACCCTGCCAGGCTGACCCAACCCTTCTGGGTGCAGGGTCAGCTCTTCCAGCACCCCAACTGGCACTTGGGAAATGTGTGTTTCCCCCCAAAGAACCGACTGCACCCACTTCACTGGGCCTGGTTTCAGCTCTGCAGGGACCTTCCCAGCAGCAGGAGAACATCCTGACTTCAGAGCCTCTAGGAGAGGCTGGACCTGCTGAGGAGCAGGGAAGCATTTCCATCCCAGAGGCAGATGCATTTCCTAAGGAGCTGGCAGGTTCCTTCTCAGCCCCCAAGCTCCTCCTTGCCCTACCCAACGAGGAAGGAGCTTTACCCCATTTTTGGAGACCCACCCCCTCAACAACTGACCTGTTCTGCAGCCCAGTGGAGTCCTCTTTGAGCCCAAAGAAGATGCAGCCCACGACGAGTCCCAGGAAAGCAGTGACACAGAGCTGAAAGCAAGACAAGGGGAGCACAACCATCACTCTCAGGGGGCTCTCAGAGCCTCAGTGGTTCTGTTTTGAAACGGGTGTAGATGGTCAGGAAGTGTCTCCAGGGAGGAGAGAAGCTGCCCCAGCTGGGAAGAGGTTGGTGGGGCAGCTCAGACCCAGGGCAGCAGCACCTCTGAGCTGTGGTGCCAGGGAGAGGTGTCTCAGCAGCTTGGGGGGGCAGGTGGGAAAGGCTGCACAACACCCTTCCCCAGGGGAACCCCAGCATCACGTCCACCTCAGCCAAGCTCTTTGAGGTCCCTTCCAACCCAAACCAGTCTGTGATTCTATGACAGGCACGTGATCCCACAAATGCAGCCCTCCTGGAAGGGGCAGCCACCAGAAGGAACAGCAAACACAGCTCTGTGCCATCCCACCCTGTCCCTGCAAGGAGCACAGCCTCACTGCAGCCATGCAGGGTGGTGCTGGTTTACACCACAGGTCCATCTAGACCCGAATCCAGTCCCCACCCATCACTGCCAGCAAGGAAGGCTTTTGGCAAGGGACAGTGTCAATGACACCATTCAAAGAGCCCCATCCAACCTGCCCTTCAACACTGCCAGGGATGGGGCAGCCACAGCTTCCCTGGGCAACCTGGGCCAGGCTCTCACCACCCTCACACTCCACAATTCCCTCCTCATGTCTCACCTCAATCTCCCCTCTTCCGCTTTTAATCCATCCCCCCTTGTCCTCTCCCTCCCTGCCCTTGTCCCAAGTCCCTCCCCAGCTTTCCTGGAGCCCCTTCAGGCACTGGAAGCTGCTCTCAGGTCTCCCTGGAGCCTTCTCTTCTCCAGGCTGAACACCCCAACTCTCCCAGCCTGGCTCCAGAGCAGAGCTGCTCCAGCCCTCCCATCATCTCCATGGCCCCCTCTGGGCTCTCTCCAGGAGCTCCACGTCCTCAAGGATCCAACTGAGAAGGCTGAGCTGTGCACATCACACTGCTGAGGGCTGAATGACAGGAATCCCAGGAAAACTGAAGGTGTCAGGCAGTTCTGCCATTCCCAAGCCTGGGCAGGGCTTGAGGCTTCACAGCCCAAACCACTTTGCTCCCTGGTGCCCTCTCCCTGAGATCCTGCCCCAAGGAGCAAATGTCAGGGATCATTCAGCTCCTGGGCCTGCTGCAGGGGAAAGCAGGGATCATCTCAAGGAAGAGATTAGTAACAAGAGGCTTAAGGAGCTGGGAACCTCCCCCAGAAGGCTTGGAAAATCCATCCCTAATGAGGGTGGGGAGATAGGAAAGAGAGTGAGAAACAAGTCAGGACCCTTCACCTCGGGGGATTATGGGATCCTGGAGAGTCTAATCCTTGTCACAAGGTCAAGCTTTTACAAAGCAATTATTAAGGATCTGCACAGTATCAACATACAGACACACACCTACTCAGAGCCTCTTAATCTCTGGACTCATTTCTCTCCACACTGGGCATTTGTTCACTCATTATGTGAGCCATGATCAAGGTAATTTATCCCCTTGGCTTGGTACCAGGTTTTCTCCTGGCTTCTAAGAGTGCTGGGAATTGCAGTGGGAGTTTTGCTGGTGCTGGGGCTGGAGAGTTTGGCTCATGAATGAGGGGATTCCTGAGGATCAGGAATTCTGGTTCCTGGTCAGCCAGGCATTCTCTATTTCTGAAGGTGACGTTGCAGCTTTGAAGAAACCAACACTTTTGGTGTTGATTCTTCTGAAAAAGCAGCACTAAAAGGGCTCATCTTCCATGGCAGGTGTTAACCCTCAGCTTGGCCTTCATGGCAGCTTCTCCAGGAGCCACCATCACCATTGTGAACAACCAAGTGACTAAAGGACACAGGCACCACGAGACTGTGAAAATATTCCTGCCCTTGAGCCAACTCTCAGCCCTCCCTTGTGTGCTGGAGCCTCAGGAGGTGTGCAAAGTGTCCTCTGGTCACTTTTCCTGCTGGGGGAGAAGAACTGCCCAGTGCCAAGCCTGGACAATTCAGAGTGGAGTCTGAAGAGCAGGTGGAACTACTTGGGAGACAATCTGCTCCTGGCCAGGTTGGACCTTGCTGGAAAAATTCCTGCCTCCCAGAACCTTTCAGCAGCCCAAAAATCAATTGCTGGACAGTCCCACACGCAGCTTATCTGGGGCTATTCAGGCTCAGATTTCCAACACTTGGTCACCTCCTTGTTGCAGTAGGAAGTTTCAAGAGGCAAAAGCCATCCCCACAACTTCTCTAGGAACAGACTCAACCCAGACCAGGAAGGGAGAGACACAAAAAAAAAGAGCATCACCTGAGCTACTGATGCCTGAGGGTTTCCCAGCAGGTTCCGGAAGGTGCGCCTGGACACCCACTTCAGCTGGTGGCAGAAGGAATTGGCATAGGTGATCTGCCTGAAGACTGCCTTGGTTTTCCTCCTCTTTCCCACGGGAATGTTCTCCAGTGCTGCTTTTGTTTCTTGGTAGTAGGCAGAGCTGGAGTATTTCTCTGCCAAGCTCTCAGCCAAGGTTCTCTCGCCTCCCGCGCTCCCCTCGGCGCTCCCTGCTGAGAAGGGGAGACACAACTGGGAGGGCTGGGAAGGTTGCTCAGGGGTTAAGGCAGGAGGATTCCCTTTGGGTGGAAGAGTTACTGACAAGCCTGAAGAGTTAACAGTGTCCTTTTAGCTCCAGGGGTTTGTTGCACTCAGACTCTCATCATGTACCAGTACAACCCCATGGACCAGTGCAGGTTGGGGGCTGAGCTGCTGGGGAGCAGGGTAGGAGAGAGGGACCTGGGGGTCCTGGTGGGCAGGAGGGTGAGCATGACCAGCAATGTGCCTTTGTGGCCAAGAAGGCCAATGGCATCTGGGGTGGGTTAGAAAGGGGTGGTTAGTAGGTCAAGGGAGGTTCTGCTGCCCCTCTGTTCTGCCTTGGTGAGGCCACATCTGGAATGTTGTGTCCAGTTTTTGGGCCCTCAGTTCCCGTGGATCCTGGGGTGGGTTAGAAAGGGGGTGGTTAGTAGGTCAGGGAGGTTCTCCTGCCCCTCTGTTCTGCCCTGGTGAGGCCACATCTGGAATGTTGTGTCCAGTTCTGGGCCCCTCAGTTCAGGTAGGACAGGAAACTGCTTGAGAGAGCCCAGGGCAGAGCCCCAGAGATGCTGGAGGGAGGGGAACATCTCCCTGCTGAGGAAAGGCTGAGGGAGCTGGGGCTGTTGGGCTTGGAGAAGAGGAGACTGAGGGGCGACCTCATCCCTGGTTACAAACACGTTCAGGGCAGTGTCAGGAGGGCAGAGCCAGGCTTTGTGCAGTGATGTCCCAGGGATGTCCAGTGACAGGACAAGGGGCAATGGGTGCAAACTGGAGCCCAGGAGGTTCCATGTGAATCTCAGGAAGAACTTCTTTGGTGTGAGAGTGCCAGAGCCCTGGGCCAGGCTGCCCAGAGAGGCTGTGGAGTCTCTTTCTCTGGAGACATTCCAACCCCCCTGGCCACGTTCCTGTGTGATGTGCTCTGGGTGCCCCTGCTCTGGCAGGGGGGTTGGGCTGGGGGAGCTTTCCAGGTCCCTTCCAAACCCTAGGATCCTGTGATCCTGTAATTCTGTGATCATGCCATTGGGAAGAGTGAGGATAAATAAGCCCAAACCTCAGGGCTGGGCTGTATGACCTGCCCCTCAGGCATTCCCAGCAGGATGTCTGGGCAAACCCTTCTCTGCCAATGACATTTCCCACTGGCAGCCATCTGGCTCTTAATAAAAAAGTGATTTCCAACCCTCAGTGATCTGTGGCACAGGTCAGAGAACCTGACACCTCCCAGACTTTCAGTTCCAGGTGATCCCACACGTGTCTCCCTCAGTCAAACTTCAGGGTCTGGCATCAAGAAATTTCAGCTGGAGCTGATGTGGTGGGGTTTTTTTCCCCCTCTGTGTGCCCTTCCAAGAACAAACACAGAACGTGTTGCCACCTGTAACACCAGTCAGCCCATGGACACAGGCACCATTTTTGCAAACTGCTGGTTGCTCCTTTGGTAAAGACCTGGTGAAGCTGTTTGGGCACAGTCATGATTTCACTTTCCCCCTCCCTCATCAGAACAAGAGAGTGTCCTGTGAAGGAGCAGCAACAGACAGGAGGAGGAGAAAAAACAACCCCAACCCTCTGGGTGGGATTTGATTTGGCAGTTTGGGGACAATCCCTGCTTTTCTGCATCATCAGGGAAGCACCAGGAGAAGGTTGGCCCCCATTTCTACCCCACCCTCCCCAGGAAGAAGGAAAGCAGTAAGAACCATCCCATAAGGGAAAAACTAACTCCACCAAATCATGTCCTGAAGTGGAACAATTGTCCTCTTCTATCATCTCTGCCTCTGCAGGACTTCCTTGGTTTGCCTCAGGGATGGAAGCAGCTCTGTCCCTGTGTTGAGAGGCAGCCAAACAGTTCCTTATACCCCCAACCATCACAGGAAACTATTCCTTCACCCTTCAGATCTTGTCATTTGAGTGTGAGACAAAAGGATGCAGTTGATGAAGACATGGAAAGCCATGATGAACCCCTAAAGTTCAGGACAAACTATTCCTGCACAGCAGGGCTGTCTGTGTTTTCATGAGCTGCTTTTCTCAGGTTGTGCTGGTCCTTTTCCACACAGGAACAAAAATTAGGAGCAGCTGGGGGGTTTTCCTTTCCCCTCTAAAGCAAGGTGCAGGTGGTGATGCTCCCCCTCCTACCTGTGGTGGGTCCACCAGCCTTGCCCACAGCCGTGGAGTCCCCGTTGATGACGTCCAGGAAGAAGTCAGCAGGGTTGTTGTAGGGCTCACACTGGTATCCTGTGGGGACAGCATGGCAAGCCCTGAGCTGTGCTTGTGGGGCAGCCTGGGGGCTCTTGGTGGCCATCACCAACCCTGCAGGCTCCCAGAGGTCTGTGCTTGCCCCAGAGATGGGCAGCACTGCTCTGCCAGGGGCACAGGGGGCAACGTGTCCTTCTCAACCCCAGCCTGGGCTTTGGCTCTTTAGGATGAGCCCAGGAACAGCTGATTAGAGGCTCAGAATTGTCAGGGATGGAAGGGATCTCTGGGGATCATCTTAGTCCAGCTTCCCTGCTAAATAATCATCCTGGTTGGAAGGCACCTTGGAGATCATCAAAAGCAGGATGGCCCAGAGCACATCCCACAGGGGATGTACACAGGGGGGTCTGGGATGGCTCCAGAGAAGGGGACTCCACACCCTCCCTGTCCCAGGGCTCTGTCACCCTCACTGGAAATAAGTTTTTCCCCATCTTTCCATGTCACTTCCCATGTTCCAGCCTGTGCCCGTTGCCCCTCGTCCTGTCCCTGGGCACTGCTGAGCAGAGTCTGGCTCCATCCTCCTGCACCCACCCTGAGATACTGCCAGGCACTGATCAGGTCTGTCCTCAGCCTTCTCCTCTCCAGGCTAAAGAATCATAGAATGTGTGGGGTGGAAGGGACCTTTAAAGGCCATCTAGACCAGCCCTCCTGCAGTGAGCAGGGACCTTTTTAACTAGACCAGGCTGCTCCAAGCCCCATCCAACCTGCCCTTCAACACCCCCAGGGATGGGGCAGCCACAGCTTCCCTGGGCAACCTGGGCCAGGCTCTCACCACCCTCACACTCCAGAATTTCCTCCTCATGTCTCACCTCAATCTCCCTCTTCCAGTTTTCATCCATTCCCCCTTGTCTTCTCACTCCCTGCCCCTGTCCCAAGTCCCTCCCCAGCTTTCCTGGAGCCCCTTCAGGCACTGGAAGCTGCTCTAAGGTCTCCCTGGAGCCTTCTCTCCTCCAGGCTGAACACCCCAACTCTCCCAGCCTGTCCTCATGAGCAATGCTCCAATCCCCCAGCCACCTTTGTTGCCCTCTGTGTCCCCCCCATCCCAACCCACCCCTGACTCAAGAGGTGGAAGCCCAAGCCTCTCCTCACCCCTAGCCTCGCTGACCCACCCCACGTCCAGCTCTGACCCATTTTCCCTCCCAACGGGGCCACGTAGAAGCTGCTGCTGCAGCTGTAGGGCCAGCTGTGAGTTGTGTTGGGCTCACCAATAGACTGGAAGTAGCTGAGGGCTTGCTGGGCTGGCCCGTGGTACAACACCCTGCCTGCTGCCAGCAGCGTCAGCCCGTCGCACAGGCGGAAGATGGAGTAGCGGGGCTGGTGGATGGAGAAGATGATGGTTTTCCCTTGCTGTGCCATCCTGGATGTGAGGAAGAAGACAAAGGGTGGTTCTAAGACCCCCTGAGAACGTGCAAAGTCACTCCAGCCGTGCTGAACGTGCCAGAGATGGGACAGGTTCTTACAGCAGGTCCTTCTGTGGCAGAAGAGAGAGTTCCCTCTCGCTGGGAGTGCTGCTGGAGTGGGAGATTTTGATGCAAAGAGAGGTGCTGGAGTCCTCTTTGCTTGGGAGGGTATGAAAAATGAGGCAAAACCTGCACCCAGAGGGTGTGTTGAGCTTGTTTTCCCAAAGAGAGGCCGGAGCTTTTGGGATGGGGGGAACGGCTGGTTGTGTTCCAGCTGCCACTGACATGAAAACCTTCCCAGGCTGCCCCCACTGGCTTTTTAAAAACCACTTTTCTGGCCCAGGCAGAGATGAAAAGAAGTGAAGGTGCCCATGGCAGCTGTCACAGACCAACTGCAGCCCCTGCAAGGAGCACAACCCCCATTTCCCTGTTTGCTCCCCCCCAGCTGCGGTGTCACTGCGATCGAAGCCAAACACAAGTGCAAGGCAGCAGGGTTGGGTGGTGAAAACAGGGAGCCATCACCTTTTCAGGAGCAGCAGGACAGCGTTAGCAGTGCTGGCATCCAGTCCTGTGGTTGGCTCGTCCAGAAACAAGATGCCAGGATCCGTGATGAGCTCCATCCCAATGTTGGTCCTTTTCCGCTCCCCTCCGGACACGCCGCGGGTGAACTGGGTGCCAACCTGCCACAAAGCAAGGAACCTGTCTGGTCTGGCCTGCCTGCTCCTCTGAGCCAGGATTATAGAAGCATAGGGGTTGGAAGGGAACCTCTGAACATCATCATGTCCAACCCCCCTGCTGCAGCAGGAACACCCAGGGCAGGTCACACAGGAACGTGTCCCAGTGGGTCTGGAAAGTCTTCAGAGAAGGAGGTTCCACCACCTCTCTGGGCAGCCTGGCCCAGGGTCTGGCCACTCTTTCAGTGAAGAAATTTTTCCTAATATCCCATCTGAACCTCCCCCTGGTGCAGTTTGAGTCCATTTCCTCTTGTCCTGTCCCCAGCTGTGTGGGAGAAGAGCTCAAGTCCCACCTCCCTACACCCTCCTTCCAGGTAGTTGTAGAGGCAAGAAGGTCTCCCCTCAGCCTCCTCTAAACACCCCCAATTCCCTCAGCCCCTCCTCATCACACTGGTGCTCCAGACACTTCTCCAGCACCTCCATGTTCTTCTTGTCCTGAGGGCCCCAGAACTGGACGTGGAACTCGAGGTGCAGCCTCCCCAGTGCCCAGCACAAGGGAACAATCACTTCCCTGCTCCTGCTGGCCATGCTGGTTCATTGAACCAGGGGATCATGGAATGGTTTGGGTTGGAATGGACCTTTAAGGTCACAGAATCACAGAACTATTGAGGCTGGAAAAAACCTCTGAGATCATCAGGTCCAGCCTATGAACAACACCCCCACATCTCCAGACCAGGGCACTAAGTGCCACATCCAGCCTTTCCTTGAACACTTCCAGGGATGGTGCCTCCACCCTGGACTTCCCTGGGAAGTCCATCCCAAGGTCTGACCACCCTCTCCATGAGGAGGTGCTTCCCTGCCCAGGGCAATGGCAGCACAGACTCATTGCCAAGTCACTGATCATTCTATCACTGAAATCATCTACTTAATTGTACTTGCTTTTTAATTTTTTTCCTTTAATCTGCCAAGCTGAGCCATTTGGTTAATTCAATAAATCACTTCAAATTTGTTCATGACTCACTGTGATTTCGTTCATGTTATTGTCCCCCTCTGCTCTGCCCTGGGGAGGCCACAGCTGGAGAACTGGGACCAGTTCTGGGCTCCCCAGTTCAGGAGAGACAGGGAACTGCTGGAGGGAGTCCAGGGGAGGGTGATGAAGGTGATTTGGGGGGTTGGAGCATCTCCCTGATGAGGAAAGGCTGAGAGAGCTGGGGCTGGAGAGGAGAAGGCTGAGGACAGACCTGATCAGTGCCTGGAAGTATCTCAGGGTGGGTGCAGGAGGATGGAGCCAGACTCTGCTCAGCAGTGCCCAGGGACAGGACGAGGGGCAACGGGCACAGGCTGGAACATGGGGAGTGACATGGAAAGATGGGGAAAAACCTCTTTCCAGTGAGGGTGACAGAGCCCTGGGACAGGGAGGGTGTGGAGTCCCCTTCTCTGGAGCCATCCCAGACCCCCCTGTGTACATCCCCTGTGGGATGTGCTCTGGGCCATCCTGCTTTTGATGATCTCCAAGGTGCCTTCCAACCAGGATGATTATTTAGCAGGGAAGCTGGACTAAGATGATCCCCAGAGATTCCCTTCCAAGCCTGACAGCCCTTCCATGACTTAAGCACCCCATTTCCAGGCCTCACCTTTGAATCTGCCACTTTGCTCAAGCCCAGTTCCTTGATGATCTGGTCGACTCGCTCGTTCTTCTCGTGCTCCTTCACTGCCCTTGGCAAACGAAGGGCTGCTGAGAACTTCAGGTTCTCTCTCACAGTCAGGGTCCCCATCACCACATCGTCCTTCAAACCAAACAGAGCTGAGGTGTGTGTCCTGAGAGGTGCCCTTTCTGTTCCCAGAAAGTGCCTCGGGAAACACCCTGTGCCTGTTGGGAGCCTCGGGCTGCTCCTCCACGTGGGGAACAAGGAGGGGGATCCAAAGCACCTGCTCCAGGTGACTGCAGAGCATTAAGGAGAGAGACTCACATGCAAAACACAGGCTCTTTCCCAGCAAGGCTGGAGCTGGGAAGAGCTGCAACTCCCCCAGCACCCACCCTTGGCTCAAGGCAGGTGCTTTCAGCAACTCCAACTGCAGTCAGAACGGGGCAAGAACATGCAAACAGGGGTAAAAATGACTTGCCTGTACTACATATCCAGAGGTGCACTTGAAGTTGGCAGGCTGAGGAGCTCCATTGATCAGAATGTCACCAGAAAGCCCGTGGGGATCCTTCCTTGCTGCCAAGATGTCAAGCAGACTAGGAGAAAAGTTGGTTACTTTGTCAGGTCAGCAGCCAGGAGCTCCTGGAACTACAAACTAGTTCATGGAATGAACACGTTAAACCCAGAAAACACCCCCCCTGGTGAACTGGAGAATCAGGAACTTTCAAGGGCTGAGTTTCTTTTGCCCTGGTGTCCTAAGGAGGTGAGACCTGTGCAAAGCCCCCATGCAGTTGTGTCCATCCCCCCCCCACAAGGTGAGTTTAACCCAGGACAATTAGCCCAGCGTGGCCTGAATTGCACCCTTGGCATGAAAGCTGATGGTCTTTTTTTATTTTTCTTCCCAGCTCAGGTACCTCCCAGCCACCAGGGAGATTTGCACAGACCCAAATGGAAGCCTTCCCTTGGCATTCTTGCTCTCCCCGGGGTGGTTTCTGAGGAGGGCAAAGAGGCAACTTACGAGGATTTCCCGCTGCCCGTGGGTCCCAAAATGGCATTCAGGCCTGGTCTCATGATGCCACTGCCAGACAAAACAGACAGGCTGCTTTTACCTCTCCGTCTCAGCTGGTAGGCAAGTGTGAATGGTCTTGTAGAACTGTCCTCTGCATCCTACTCGTGTTGGAAGGAGTGAAGCTGCCTCCTCACGAGCCTGGCCCAGGGAAGCTGTGGCTGCCCCATCCCTGGCAGTGTTGAAGGGCAGGTTGGATGGGGCTTGGAGCAACCTGGGCTGGTGGGAGGTGTCCCTGCCCATGCAAGGGGGTTGGATCTGGATGATCTTGAAGGTCCCTCCCATCCCAACCCATTCCATGAAAACAATGTTTATGATAAGTCAAACTCCACCTTGACTTTTAGGTTATTCAAAAAAAAACAACCCAACAAACAACCTTCACATGGTGAAAACGAGACAGAAACTTCAGTAAAATGTATCAAAATCTGTCTGCATGTTTTCCCTCCATGGGCCTCTAGAAGGGAAGCAGCCATTTGCTTTCACCACACTCAGTTCCCAAGGTGTTCTTCTCTTAGAAGTGATGGTCCCTAAAGACACAACATACCTTTGATTTGTCTGTACCTCCAGAAACTGCAGCTCTTGGTTCCACTGTCCCTGATCTTAAGCCACGTGAGACTCAAAAGCCAGAGAGAAATGGTTGTTTGAAGTATTTGGTAAGATTTTAAGAGCTCATGGGAATGGCAGGGGCAAAGAGCAGGACAGACACAGCTGCACAGAAGGGCAAGAATTGATGAGAGAAACAGGAGTCTGAGGGAGCTGAAAGTCAGAGGTGACTTGGAGTGGGGTGTTGTAGGAGCACCAGCCCCTTGGCTTCACCAATGACCTGTGAGCAGGCAAACCTGACCTGCAGTGACCAGAGAATCCCAGCATCACAGAATTGTCACAGCTGGAAAAGGCCTGTGAGGTCACTGAGTCCAACCAGCCACTCAGACAAAAAAATCAATAAAAACCCAACAAAAAAAAACCCAACAACACACCAACCAACAACACAAACCCACCCCCCGTGCCCACCAGAGCATGTCCTGAAGTGCCTCATCTGCCTGTTCTTTGAATCCTTCCAGGGGATGGCGACTCCACCACCCACCTGGGCAGCCTGTCCCACTGTCCAACCACTCTTTGGGTAAAGAAACTCTTTCTAATCTCCAGTCTAAACCTCCCCTGGTGCAGCTTCAGGCCATTTCCTCTGCCCTGCCATTATTCACTGGGGAGAAGAGCCCAACTCCCACCTCCCTACACCCTCCTTTCAGGGAGTTGTGGAGAGCAATGAGGTCTCCCCTCAGCCTCCTCCTTCTTCAAACTAAGCAATCCCAGTTCCCTCAGCCTCTCCCTACAGGGCTTGTTCTCCAGGTTATGGGAAAAAAACAAGCCCCAAACAATGTGATTCCTTCCCTGCAGGGGTGCTCAGTATGGAAGGAAACAAACAAAACACAATAAAACCCCCCCAAAAAAGAGAAAACTTGTCATCTCCTCAAATTTATCCCAACCCTCTTCCACGTTATTGCCTTCAACATCTCCAGTGGGAAGCCCCAAGGTCAGGGATGGAGCTGCTTGAGCCCAGGCTGTTGGTGTCTCCATCAACCACAGGTCGGGACTTGCCAGGAGGTGCAGGAGGACCCAGGGGGCTCAGGCAGGGAGGTCGTCCCTCCGAGGACTGGGGAAATGATGCCCAGCCCTGCCAGGCTCAGGTCTCACCCCTGAGGGACACTCAGGAAGCAAAGAGAAACAGCCACACACACAGATTTGGACTCAAACCTGCCCAAACTCCGCGCTCGGTGACCGAAACGAAGACGCGCCTTTGAGGAGATGCTCAAACACCCACCTGACGTCTCTCAGAACCTCCTTCTGGGCTTTTTTCTTCCAGCACAGGAGCCCGGTCTTCACCTGCACCTGGTAGCAGATGTTGTGGAAGGTGAGCAGGCTCCCTGCCCTGCCCGCCGAGGCGGGAGGGGACTTGATGCTGGGGACGCCGTTCGCATCCCGCTCCGGCGTCGGGATGCCCAGGTGGGGCTGCCCTGCTGCCATCCTTGCTCTGGGGAGGCAAAAGGAAACCACACCAAAACACACAGTGAAGGGGGGGAAAGATTTCATCAGGTGTGTCCGTGGTGACCCTGCTCCTGGTGGGGAGGTTGGGTCCTGGTTGGTCCATGAGGTCCCTTCCGACCTTCACCCTTCCCTTGGGGTCTCTGAGAAGAGGGAGTTTGGGTCCTGTGGGCTCAGCCCTGAAGGGGAGGCAGAGCAGGGAGGTGGGTCCCTTATTGCTTCACACCAACGTGTGCTTTGATGGGGAGAGGAGAGTCTCCCACCACCCCAATGTTCTGCTGACCAGCTGCTCCCCCCTTCCTCTTCGCTGCCCCCAGTGCTCCTTCCCCAGCTTCTCCCTCCTCTCTCACAGATGCTGCACACAGCCTTTATTTATTTAATTTATTTTCAACCTATTTTTAATCTCATCTACCCTTTTCCAACCTATTCAAGAAGCAGATTTTCAGGGAGGTGCTTCCACCTGCTCAGCTTGGGTCCCCTGCTGCCAGCTGGACCAGTTTTGGATGTGCCTGCCTGGGGGTTTTGCCCATTAAATGCTCTTTTAAAGGGGTGGTTTGGAAGCAGATACCCCTCCTACCCCTAGTGCAACAAAACCTGAACACCACAGGTTGTTTTTTTCTTAAATCAAAATACCTTTGCCAAGGGTATAGGAAAGTGGAAAGTGACACCACTGCCAAGTCATTCTCTTCCTTGGATTTGCTTTCCGCGTGAAAACTAGAAGGCAGTTGTGGAATAATTACAAATTCTCACCTCCTTTGTCAGCCAAGCTCCTGCCTGGGAGCTCTGCCCCTGCCCTTGTTCTCTTCCTAAGTGGCACAGGGTCATTTAGGTAGGAGGCAGGATATGTTGACTCATTGGACTCTAATTCCTTTAATTGTCACTAGGGGAAATGTTGGTGATGGGAGAGTCCATGGGAAACAAGAGGGGAGATGAGCAGCTAGAGCTCTGGAAGGCTCAGCCCTCTACACCCTAGTTAGACATCTTGCAGCAAGGCAGAAAGATGAGACCATGTCACAGAATCCCAGAATCCCAGGGGTTGGAAGGGACCTGGAAAGCTCCCCCAGCCCAACCCCCCTGCCAGAGCAGGGGCACCCAGAGCACATCACACAGGAACGTGCCCAGGGGGGTTGGAATGTCTCCAGAGAAGGAGACTCCACAGCCTCTCTGGGCAGCCTGGCCCAGTGCAGAGTGTAAACAAACTGTGCTTCACTGAAGGATCTGTTCCTTGGTGCCACAAACATTTCTCACAGGCAGCATAAGCTCTTCTAACATGTACCTTCCACATTTAGTCTGCTCAACACACAGAACGTCACAAACAGGTCTGCATCATTGTTCCTCTTTCACTGTTAGTGAAACAGGTGCTGAGATGGAGAGAGTTTCCATTTTGTATCAGCACTAAAAGCAGAAGCTAGATTAGAGTTCAATTGTCATGTGTCCCTGCCCAGTGCTCTACAGAAAGCCACAATGGCAGCATTCTTGTGGTGGTTCTTCCTCATTGCAGCATTGTAACATTTATGTGTTACAATTTATGTAGTACAAATAAGAAAGCTGGACTGGCAGGGAGGTGAAGAAGGGGGGTGACCCCCAGGTCCCTTCCTCCTACCCTGCTCTCCAGCAGCTCAGCCCCCAGCCTGGGGTTGTTCAACCATGGGGTTGTTCTTCCCCAGATGCAGAACTCTCAGAGTGAGCTGGGGAGCATTTGGCACAAAGAACCTCACCAAAAACCAGTCTAATCTCACACAGCCATAGGGTCACGTGAAAAACAAAACAAAACAAAGCAACAAGCCCTTATATACTTGGCTAAGGTTGCTGGAATGTTATGGGTGAAGTAGAGTCTGACCATGATCAATGCAACAGCTCAATGTTTATTTTGTCTCACCCGGGTTTGCTGGATGCAAGGGCAGGTTGGATGGGGCTTGGAGCAGCCTGGGCTGGTGGGAGGTGTCCCTGCCCATGGTGGGGTGGGACTGGATGGTCTTTGAAGTCCCTTCCAACCCAAACCAGTCTGTGATTCTATGACAGGCA